GACTCTGAGTCCTGTTTAGCTAAACCGTTTAACCGCCTAAAGCTGTGCACCTCTGCTGATAACTAACTGGGGCTTACCCAGTTTAAGCCGCTCACCTGTTGTTGTACGTACTACAAATGGAATGCCTAATGACTTTACGCCCATTATGATGGGAATGCGCGCTGCATAGTTCTTAAGCAGCACGAATTCTTTCGCGGCACATCAAACATTAACAGCTAGAAGTGCTCTACCGACTCTACCGGCTCTACCGACTACACCGACTCTACCGGCTCTACCTACCCATCTACGCAACGCTCGCACACGCTTAAAAATTATTCCATTATCCTCAGCTGGACGCGCAGCACGAGATAATTTAATATCCATTTGCGGAAGCTTCAGTCTGCTGCGCCCTCCTGACCTTGCTGGCGACTAAAGCATTTGCGATTATAATCCGATTGCATGCTCAAAAGGGTGTGTTCCTCTCCCTCTCTCTCTCTCTCTCTCTATCTGTCTCTCTGTCTCTATCTGTTTGTGTGTGTGCCAACTGGACTCGCACAACGGTTGACCACAAAGCAAACTGTTTATTCTGCACTTTCGCTCGCATAAATCTAGCTGGATGCGGAGCTGAATTAAAGCTTCGTTAATAGTTTTATCAATGATTCTGAATTGTTTGAGCACCTATAGCTACAGCTGCACATTGAAGGTCATGGATGGAGGTGAAATGATTGGGAATAGTATTTTTAGCGAATTGTTGCCTCAATGTAAAGCTTGCATTGCATTTGTACTTTAGCAGAGCTCGCTGATGGTAGCTCGTAATCTGACAAAGCTCAGGTACTTGGATTTTTCTGAATTTTCTTGTTCACGAGGTGAAAAGCGTGTATTGGTTGTGCGCAATATATGAACGTACCTCCATCCGTTGGTTGGTCCATCCATTTGTCCTTCCGAAAGTCTCTGAGTCCCCTCGTTCGTTCTTTCATCCATCCATCTATCCATCCGCACTTCCATCTGATCGACATGCATGCGTCAAATCTCTTGTCCATCCGTCTACTCACCGGTCCATCCGTGTGTTATCCTATAGTTTCTCCGTCCTTCTATCCGTTCGTCCGTCGGTCTATTCCTCCATCCATCCACTCGTTCGCCCATCTATCCATCCATTCTTCCTACCACCCTTCTATCTGTTCCTCCGTCCATCCTTTCGTCTGTCCTTTCGTCTCTCCTTTCTTGCATTTCTTAATCATTTCGCTCCCATTGAGGATTAGAGCTTGCTATGGCTTTCGTCTTTAGAAAACGACATGACAAAGCGGATAATACAATATCTCATATAACGGCAATGCTCTCATTTAAGGAATGACCGACTTGAAATTTGGTATGTATATTTGCCCTGACAAGCCAAGATAAAACAAACAGTTAAAGATCTGTATACAGCTAGAAAATTCGACAATGAACGACCGTGTGATTATATATACCAACACATACATATAAATATATATGACCCTTTGAGCGTTTCAAATTGTAGGTAAATTAAATCTTCTTAAGCTTTATGCATAGCTTTAAATTTGAGACTTGAGATTTGAGACTTGCGACTTGATTTTCTGTGGAACATGAACGAATTTTAAGTAGTCTGTTATATATTCATATATATACGTTTACGATACTACACTTATATATGTATTTGTAATCTCTCTCAAGTCAAAGTCAAGATTTAGTCAGGTTAATGCTAGACAAATTTGTAGAAAATAACAAAAAGCGCTCTCATTTCCTAAGCGGATTGTTTCGAATGTCCTGAACTCAACTTTGGCCTTGAAAGTCCCATTTAAGTGTTGAATTATGGAGGACATTAAACAGAATTTCGGCAACTTAATTTGAAATGTGCAAAATGCTTGTTTATCGGCTGATCTCCATTGGCTGCTGGATGGATGCCATTAAGCGAAGTGAAATGGACTTGAGCACGACTTTATTTGCATTGGCATTAAAAAATAAAGGAATTTCCATCCTATTGGCGTTGATCGACTGCGAAATACCCTAATGGCTGTGGTAGAGGCGAGGCGGTGCTTAATCAAAGACTTGCCCGAAGAAATATCTGTGGGCATATATCAATTGCTGTGAAATATTTGCATATAAATATTAATCGTAGACCCATCAGTGAGTGATCTGTGGACAAGGCTAAGCTGCCGGAGATGTGGCCTAATGGCTTAATGAGAGGAAGAGAGCAGTCAAAGAGCAACAAATGCAAATACAATAATTAAAACGAAAGCCGAAAGTGAATAAATAAATGGAGTGCACGCTTTGGCACGGCAATCAAATGGGTCAAGTTGGTGTAGCCGGAATTTGGGACGGATTTGGCCAAGTTTAATTAATGCAACGGCATTATTTATGTGCCCGGACACGCTTTGCCTTTCAAGACCCTACCAAAAGTTTAATTGAATTAGTCACTTACCCGCCGCGATGAAAACAACAAACAAAAAACATGTATAAGCGCTGTAGTCGGGCATTACCGACTGCAGAGTACTCATTTCCGGCCTAAATGCTGTCAGATCCATGTTCCGAGTTATCACGCCCGATAAACTTTCATAAACTTTCAGTTTCTAATTCTCCCCAATGCGCCTATGTAGATATACCCACCATACCTTATAGATTTTGGGCTGCCAAATTTTTAAGATTTTAGCTCTTTGACTATTATAATATCTAAGTTAACGGAAAATGCATTTTCTGATTTACCACACCCCTAGTGGGCGAAACAGGAAAATCTTGACACTTTATAATTCGAGTAGTTGCTCGAGTCTCCAGCTTCAATAGCATCGAAGGGCTTTCTATTCATAGGGGCAGACGGACGGACGGACATTGCGTACAACTAATATGCTCACACAATTTTCTTGAATGAGTATGAAAAGAGAAATAAGACTGAAACAGAAGCAGAAACAACGAACCAATAAACATCAACTTTTTTGAGTCCGAGATGTAACTGGGTCGAGTCATCCTAGAAGCAGAGGCGCATTTTTCGCCTGGCCCAAGATGATGTGCGAAATGTTGAGCCTCACTTTTTGTTGTGGTTTAAAGTTGTTGCTTGATTTATGAATGGCGCCACCTCCCCCCCGCCCCCTGAGCACAGCTCCAGCGCCAGCCACCGGGAAGGGCCAGGAAACATGACAAAGAGTCTGGCAGGGCGTCAGCAAAGCGACGCGTCGCTTGAATAATGAGCAAAAGGTGTAAACAAGTGGAAGCCGTCGCCGGTGCGCTAATTAACTTGACAAATGTGCCGTCCCTTTCAGCTCGAGTCAGTGATTATAATAATGTCATTGCGTCGCTCGGCATGCCAGCGCAATGCTCCAATCCGGGAGCGCATGCAAATTTTGTCAACTCACTTAGTTATGTAAATGCCAGCTGATTGCCAAATATTGCAGCAATTAATCATTTAATTAATTCCGCAAGCTGTACAAATACATATACATATATGTACATACATATATCTCGCTTGTTCACGGCAAAAAAAAAAGGAAAGAAAAACAAGAAAATTACAATATTCATGCAATGCGAACAGATTTTCTCCCCACTTTCCTCTGCGCATAAATTATGCCAGCGTGTGCGGCAGCCTTGTGGCAATTCCGGGTATCTTGTAGTCGATCATCAGCGACATTTCTGCTTGTATAAATGAGTATACGTGCTTTATTTGAAGTTATCTGGCAGTTCTTACGGCAATTTACCGTTTGAGTAGCTTCGAGTGTTTGGCAACAAAGAGTTCCAGCGAATAAGTATTCATGACATTCAAATTCTGTATTTCAACATGACAATTGATGAAGTGTCATGGACCGAACATCTTGCTTTCTTCCTATTTATTTAGTGACGATAGTTATCTAAGATGTCATTAATTGTGGCAATAGTTATTTAAGTGTAATCGATACTCTCGATAGTGACTTAAGAATTGTCAAGTTTTCATACTTAAGCGATAGCACTAGCCCTAGTCATACTTAACATGAGGACTTAATGCAACAGCTATGTACATCGATATACAATTCAGATTCAATCTTTATATGCCATACTTCCTTCATTACGCTCCACTATAGGAAAAATGCCCGAAATTTTGGCATGAACTCTAAAAGTAAAGCTAGGAGGTTGAAATTAAAGTATACTAAATCAGAATTTTGAAATATTTATTATTTATATATTATTAATATTATTATCAAAATTAACACAAAAACAAGTGAGAAGGCTCTAGTCGAGACTGCTCGACTAGGAGATACCCTGAACCCAGATTTCTCTCTCAATGGATCAGGGTATAATAAAATTGCCAAAATTTCGTGATTTTTTTTCCTAAAATGCGCTCTTATGTGGTCGCGTTATACATACAAGGTAGACATGTATATGTATACATATATCTTTCTGGATAATATTAAAAGTCGGATTTATTGTTAACGTGGGAATGTTTATCCATGTTGACTTTATTAAGGAAAGGCCTAGTGCCAAATCAAGTTGGTGTATTAAACACATACTTAGGGTATATAAGATTTATTATTATTGAGAAGAGAAACATTATTTGATTTTGTATATATTTGTATCTCATGAATTTTTACAGGTATTCAGCTACGTTTTTGTAAATTAAACACAAATTAATTAAATACAGTAAATTCGGTTATAACGACGTTTAAGGAACCGTCGTTATACCCGGAAGACGCTATAATCGTATAAGTTTGCTCATAAAATTTTGTCTGGGGACCAGAAATTTCGTAGCTATGACCATATCCAGCTATAAGCGGAGTCGTTATAACTGGATTCTACTGCATATCTTGAAAATTAATTCAATAATATAATTTAGTCTTATTTAAAAATGATAACCATATGTTGGTGAATGCATATTTGAGGATAAGAGAGTTATATAAGCTCTAAGATAGCTGAGTATCAAGGGAATATTATACTGAAAATCTCTGTAAGTCAAGGCCCGCTAAATTATTACTTGAGTGCGGTAAGCCTCTTTATCAGCCGGCATTCCATAGTTTCGCATGAAATTGTATCGAATTGCGCAGGAAATGGGGAAATGGGGCAAAGCGTGGGCAAACGCCAACGCTGGCAGCGTGAGTGGCAACAAGTCCTCTGGCAACATGTTGCCAAGCGGTGGTCATGTTGCTGGCCCATGTTGCCGGCCTGTGGTGAGTTTGGCGTTGGCTGCCGCAACTGTTGGTCCAATTGGGAGTCCAAGAACTGGTGGCAGTGCTCAGCATTCAGTGCACGACGGAGTCTTCGAGACGGCGGCACACGGCGCGGCAACCGCTGATTCACCAGTTGGTCTGTGTCCATCACTTAGTGTGCCTCAGTTCAGTACTGTGTGCGTGTGTGTTTTGTTTTTTTTCGTGTGAGAGTTCCGAGTGGCCCGGTGGCAAGTGCCGTGAGAGACAGCCTCACGATTGGCCCCAACTTCAACTATCGGCAGCTGTTGTCTGCGCTCGCGCCGCTGGCCACGAGTGCTGCACTGCAGCTCAATGCCAGCTATGCCGCCGAGGAGATCTACGGCGCCAGCGGCAGCGGCAGTGGCAGCGGCAGCGGCGACGGCTTCAACGGCAGCGATCTCTACATCTACAGCAATGAGCTGCCGGAGCCGGACGCGACGATCGCCACACCCGCCTCGATTGGCGACAGCAATGCATCGGTGCCGGCGGTGCTGCCCACATTGGTAACGGCGCAGCCGACCAATCGCAGCGTATCGCGCGTCATCGCCGATGTGCCCATCTGGGTGATACCCTGCTATAGCATCATTCTGCTGTGCGCCGTCGTTGGCAATCTGCTGGTGGTGCTCACCCTGGTGCAGAATCGCCGCATGCGCACCATTACCAACGTCTTTCTGCTCAACCTGGCCATCTCGGACATCCTGCTGGGCGTGCTCTGTATGCCCGTCACACTCGTCGGCACGCTGCTGCGCAACTTCATCTTTGGCGAGTTCCTCTGCAAGCTCATTCAGTTCTCACAAGGTAAGAGGCTATTAGCTGCCCCACCCTTGTCCTTGCCCGCTCCTATATAAGCGTTTATCTGAATGATATGTATACATATATATATATTTATATCGTTTTATTATGCCAATCGAGTGGCTAACCTTAAGTGATGGCAGCTACTTGAATTGTAAATGCGAGCAGTGGAACGTGGAGCGTGGAATTGCACTCATTGTGTCCCTTGGCTAATCTTTGTGTGTGTGTATGTGTGTGGGCGTGCATAAATGTGTGTGTGTGTGTGTTTTCGCTGCAAGCTTCATAAAAACTCAGTGTACTCAGCGGACTGCAGCCTCTAATTTATGAGATGACCCACATTGAGCAGCTACGTAAATACAGCAAGTAAACCTCTCTCTCTCTCTCTCTCTCTCACTCTCTCTCTCTGTCTGTGTGTGTGTGTGTGCGTGGCTCGAGCATTTAACGTCTGGCTATTCCCAATGCTTGTGGCCTGAATATTATGATTGCAGCAGGTGTTTGCCTGTCGCTCTGACGACGCCGTCGCCGCCCTCATCCGATGACGTTCAAAATGAGCTGGGTTCCTCCTACATGAAATGAAATGGGTTAATGTCTAAGAGCTTATCTAAATGCGCAAAGGTGACAAGTTACTATAAAATCACCTGTCCAACTTAACAATTGTATTCACGCACACGCTCATAAATCTCTGCTCTCAGTCACCTTGACGTGGGTTTTGTCTTGTCCTCAAAATTAACCTTTGCCACTTTTCATTCTAATCTGGTTCGATACAAATTTAATGCAATTTCATTATTCGTCTGAATTTCTTGTTCAAGTTTTCTGAATAAATTGCTGTCAAAAATCAACAAAATATATTCATGCGACCCACAATGAAAACTGCTATGAATTTTGCTTGTAGTTTAAATACTCAAATAAAAAATATGTGCTCCAAAAGTAAAAGGCATTTTAGATATTTAGAGCAAATTGCAGTGCCATTTTGTATCGATGGGCATTGAATTTCGCGATATATCGATGTAGTTTGTGCAATGTTGATATATCGGCTCACTTAACCGATAGCGGAAGCAGCGTTTGTTAGTGAATGATTCCGCTTAGTGCACTGGCACGTAATTTTAGATACTCTACTGTGGTATATGTCATATTATTAAAGCTTCTTATAGCTTAAGAAAAATTCAACTAAATCAAATAAATACTCAGAATTAATTACTTATGCAAATTCCCAGGAATTAAGTTTTATTAAATTATTTAATACCTGAGTAGAAATAAAAAATTAATTTAAAAAAAAAAAATTTTTTTTTATACACATATATTCAATTATCAAAATCAAAATATTTGTAAATATTTCATTCTCAATATATTTAAAATATTTGTAATAAAAATAGAAAAGCTTTAGGAAATTTGAGCAAATTTTATTTAAATAAACAAATTTTTAAAAATCTATTTTTTTTTTATTTATTTATAATTTTTTTTTTACATGAAAAATTTATTTATCTTGCTTTTGTATTTTCAACATATTTGCAATTTTTATAATATTCTTTTACTAATTTTCTATTCTTCTATTTTTTTTTTTTTTTTTTTTTTTTTTTTTTTTTTTTTTTTTTTTTTTTTTGTTTATACAAAAATTGAAGTTATTTCTGTAGTACCGATAGTTGCAGTCTTCAATGGGAGCAGTCATCGCGTAATGCAACTATCGATGAATTTACAGCTCAGCGCGCCTCAATGTGCCTGTAAAGACATTTTCATTGAAATTTATGTGCGAGTTAAAGTCTATTTAAGCATCTACGAAGCGCATTTTTATTCGAATTGATTTCGCTTTTATGGCCAGGCTTTTATAGACATGGCCAAAGCATTATTTATGTACAATGAATACATTGACATGAGTGTGCGGTTGGGCAGCGTGTTCATAATTTCAAATAAGTGCCGTTTGGTGCGCCATAAAGTATGCCACAGTTATTGCCGATGCCAAATACCCTTTCAATGCACAGACTTAAGGCCATGGCAACCTTTGATCAGGACTTTGCCTATTGGTAGCAACAAATTTCCATAAGATTAGCCATCTGCTGTTAAATTCAATTTATGGTAGCCGCACGCAGACACAGAAATAACTGGCGAGAGAGTGAGAGAGAGAGAGAGAGAGAGAGAGAGAGAGGGAGAGTGAGAGTGAGCGAATGTGAGAGAGGGACGAGCTTTTCGAGCTGATAAATTATTATCTCTGGATCCTGTTCGCATGCTGCGCACTGAGCATCATCAATGACAACTTGTTTGTTATTCAGCGCGTAAGCTCTTGGCAGCTAGCGAGTCATCGAGCCGGCAAAATTCGCACGGGCGAGTCATCATGGCTAAGCTATCCCGGTGGCCGCAACAAAAGCTCTAAATTTTAAATATGCGCCAACACACACACACACACACACACACACACACACACCCCCATATAAGATGTATGTAAATACACCCACACTGACAGAGACGAAGACAGGTAAACAGACAGTCAGGAGCATATTTTGAGCGGAAATTACCAGTTAAGGCAAAGCACTTTCTCGAGTAGTTATAAGTTCTTGCATAAGGCAAACACTCAACTGGGTTGGCCAAAAGGGTTGACAGGGGGGAGTGGAGACTTTTTGTTAGTCGGCTGCGTTCCTTCGAAAATTAAGTGGCTGTGACCCAGCAAAAGTCAATCATCTGCTTTGGCTACCCCCAAACGAACTTGAACCCCAAAGTTGGCTAAGAGCCGTTGCCAATTTGCTGCATGTTAACAGCAGCTTAGAGAATTTGTTCTGGCACCTGTCACAAATGCTTATCAATTGATTAAGCTGATTCCGTTTGGGTGAAGGGACTCTCAACACCAGAGCGCAACTGTCGAAGGGTTGACTAAGCAGCCACGAAAAGTTCAGTGCTCAATGTTATTTCAGCCAACTGCATAGGCCCGCACGCAGTTGGCTTATGAGCAAAGTCCAAATCAAATTAAGTATTAGCGGGGTTTCTTCAGACTCTTTTGTTTCCTTGGCCTGCTAACGCCAGCTGGGGCTACATGGCGAATACATAAATACGGCATATACATATTCGGGGCACATAAATTGAAGTGCCCTCAAGTACAGCGAGGCACACAAACTCAAATACAGATAAAGATACGGCTACAGTTACAGCTACAGCTACATCAGCTAAAGCCTCGGGCCTGGCCCTGGCAAATGCTAAGCCCGTAACAATGACTCTTAGATAATACGGCGCAAATCCTTATTTTCAATGCGAATTAGGCAAGTCTTAGGCTAACGTGAGTGCTGCCAGATTCTCAGATGTGAAAATGTGGCACCGAGCGAATGTGCGAATGTTTCTGCTTAGAACTGAAAAGTGTGAGACTGTGTGTGTGCTTGTGTGCGTGTGTGAGGGTTCTTTAAAAATACTTTAGCATTCCTCCACCAATTCGTCGGTGTGTGTGTGTGTGTGTGTGTGCCTCAATTGTTGCACGATGAGCTAAGCCCACAGTGTATACCCACATGACTATATGCATATGTATGTAAATTGTATTATTAAAGTCGCCGAGGTAGAGGGAAAGGCATGTCATTGGAGCCAACTAGAAACAATAGAAAAGAAGATTGGCACTAAAGATAGTCACTGTCTTCAAGTGGGATTACGACAAAAATAATACGCACACAACTTACTGACTTTATTCCACATTTATTTTCGCAATTTGCATTTTATCTTATGATTCTTACCAATTGGCCGAATAGAAGAGAGTGTTTTCAGATTGCCATTGCCATTGTCATTATCATTGTCATTGTCATTGTCATTGTCATTGTCATTGTCATTGTCATTGTCATTGTCATTGTCATTGTCATTGTCATTGTCATTGTCATTGTCATTGTCATTGTCATTGTCATTGTCATTGTCATTGTCATTGTCATTGTCATTGTCATTGTCATTGTCATTGTCATTGTCATTGTCATTGTCATTGTCATTGTCATTGTCATTGTCATTGTCATTGTCATTGTCATTGTCATTGTCATTGTCATTGTCATTGTCATTGTCATTGTCATTGTCATTGTCATTGTCATTGTCATTGTCATTGTCATTGTCATTGTCATTGTCATTGTCATTGTCATTGTCATTGTCATTGTCATTGTCATTGTCATTGTCATTGTCATTGTCATTGTCATTGTCATTGTCATTGTCATTGTCATTGTCATTGTCATTGTCATTGTCATTGTCATTGTCATTGTCATTGTCATTGTCATTGTCATTGTCATTGTCATTGTCATTGTCATTGTCATTGTCATTGTCATTGTCATTGTCATTGTCATTGCCATTGCCATTGCCATCTAAGGCATACTTAGCTTTAGATATTTTATCGTCAAGTTGTTTGTTTTATATTTCAATTAAAATGAAATTCGACTTCGCGCGCTGTCAGACGTGGGCAGCGCTGTAGGTTTTGGAGGCTCTGCTGTTGTTAGCATCTGCAGTTTTATGACTTGTTTCCGTTTCCGGATCCGCTACCGCCATTGCTGCTTGCCCGTGCAGCTGCTTTTGCTGCTGCTACTGATGCTGACGATGATGATGAGGATGTTTATAATGTTGTTTACTTAGCTGGTTCAAGTTTGTATTCGGATGACTGGCTGTTGATATTGCTGTTGGTACGTGCATGTTTATTTCAGGCATTCATTTTTCAACACGACACCCACATGAGTAACTTATTAAGGGCATAATAACAATGCCGAGTACCAGGAACACTAACCATATCAGTCCGCCCGTCCGCCCGTCTGCTCGTCCGTCATACGACATCCCAAGGCAGACATCACTCCAGCGCTGCTCCCGCAATCCCCAATCTGTACGCCAGCGCTCACAGCCACACATTGAAATGCCGTCATGTGGCAATTTGTTAGCCAAACACGCCTTGTGCTCGTCCCGCACCGTCTCTCGTCTTTTGCCTTCTGCCTTTTGCCTTTCGCCTTTCGGGTTTTGCCTTTTGCCATTCGCCTGCTGTGATGTGGTTGCGCGCTGCGCCTTGGACCACATCTGTTGCACGGCATCTCGCTATTGCACTGGCTCGTAAATTTATAAATGTCAACGTTGTTTGCTGTTCGGCCCGTCACACCAATTTATGACCATCATTATGTCAAGGTGCATTCGTTGCACTCGCCTCACCAAGTCACAGACCCCCGGATAGGGCTAGTCCAACTAACCGGCCCCTGCCCCAGCCCAACTAAATCGTGTCTGTCAGCTGATTTATATGCGGAGCCCAGGGTATCCGGGTATTGCCACCATTGACAGGCGAAATTCAATTTGTTAGTCAATTTTCAATAATTCTCTCGAGCAATGCTCTGGGACTCAGCTCGAAATGAAATCTTCAATATTACGAATTTCGACACCTGTCAATCGCCGCCAATTCCCCGCCAAATGCCATGTGCCGCCCATCTTCGCAGACGTCTGCCCCGAAACGTATGCAGCACATTTTTTACTCTCCACATGCCCCCAAAGGCCCTCGCACAAGGCACAGAAATTGCCAGACGCTACCCGCTGCGCTTGTCAAGACAACGCCTTAGCTAGATCTACGGCCCCGACACTGAGCCAATTAATAATTAATTGAATTTTTGTATATCATAGGCTCCATGTAGAATATTCTCTTGCTGCTGTAGGCCATTAAAAAATCACTTTAATTACGGCTGCAAAGCGAGCAAACAAAATGCACAGTCTGAGAATTTGCAATTAAGCTGAAGAATTATGCCTGGCAAAAAATATTCATAAATATTCATATATAATATACATATACATATATATATGTATGTATCTATATATGTATATCTGTATATCCCATTCTCATGTGGACATAAATCTCAATTCAAAATTGAAAATATAAAGAATTGTATACTCACTCTAGAAAGTGAGATAGGTATATTGGTTTTGTACGTCCGTCTATCTTTCAGTATGAATGCAGCTAACAAGATTTTCCCAAATGTATCTCAGAAATCATACTAGTCCAAGTACTACAGAGTTTTAATGTTGAGGGACTAAA